TTGCTTAATGATTGTTGATTATGTTGCTTCTTGTTATTTTGAGCTTGGAATTGAACTTTTAGTATAAGGATTGAATCCTTTTTCAATTTGAAAAATTTTAAATCAATTGAATCTATCAAGATCTTGCCAAAATTTCTTTTTCTTCTTGTCGAAACTTGATTCCCAAGAATTATCAAAATCAAACTCAACCTTTAAATTTCAAATCTAAATAAAACTACAATCTTTAAAAACAATCAAAATTTATTTATTTTTTTATCAAATAAAAAAATTTAAATAAGAATAAAAAAACACTTTGGGGCCTTTAAATTTGGGTTTAAAATCTAACTTCATAAATTAAAAGCTCGATTAAGCAATTTTGCAACAGATTATCAAAATAAAATTGAAGCCCATTGAATATTGAGAAAAACTCCTAAATAAAATTAGGGTGTCTACATATGGTTGTAGGGGCATTATATTAACTTTGGTCAATTATGGTAAGAAAAGTATTTTAATAAATATGTTAAGACGGGTATTATAGTAATTTTAGTTAATCATAGAAAAAGGAGCATTACAGTGGATTTGAATTCATGTAATTCAATTGTCAAGTAATTAAAAAAGGCATTATGATTATTTATATGGGGATTAATTTCATATTATTTTACGAATGTTAAAATTTAATGCGTAATTATTAAGCAATCAAAAAGGTGTTTTAGTAATTATGCTTAAAAAATAATGGCTAATTATAATATAGGGGTATTTTCATAATTATAATAGGAGAGGCATTATATGAAACAATTAAAAGGGTATTTTTTGTAATTATGGTTAAAGGGTATCATAGTAATTTAAGTTAAATATAATATGAGAGGTATTTTCATAATTATGATAGGAGAGACATTATATGAAACAATCAAAAAGGTATTTTTTGTAATTTTGGTTAAAGGGTATCATAGTAATTTTAGTTAATTATAATACAAGGAGTATTTTCATAATTATTGTAAGAGAGCATTTTTGTAATTATAGTTATAAGGTATTATAGTAATTTTGGTAAATTATAATATGAGAGGTATTTTTATAATTATGATATAATGGCATTTTTGTAATTATGGTTGTATGTGCATTATAGTAATTTTGGCCAATTATGGTAAAAGTTGTATTTTAGTAATTATGTTAAGAAGGGCATTATAGTTATTATGTTAAGAGGAAAATTATAGTAATTTTAGTTTATCATTGAAAAAGAGGCATTACAATCAATTTGAATAGATGTAATTCAATTGTCAAGTGATTACAAAAGGGAATTATAATCATTTATAAGGCAATTAGTTTCATATTATTATATGAATGTTAAAATTTAATGCACAATTATGAAGCAATCATAAGGGTATTATTGTAATTATGCTTAGAAGATATTATAGTAATTTTGGCTAATCATAATATGAGGGTTATCTTCGTAATTATAATTGGAGAGGCATTATATGAAGCAATCAAAAGGGTTTTTTTGAGTAATTATAGTTAGAGGGTATTATAATATTTTTAACCAATTATGATATGAAAGGTATTTGCGTAATTATGATAGGAAGGTATTTTCATAATTATGGTTAAAGGATATTATAATAATTTTTGACAAATTATAATATGAGAGGTACTTTTGTAATTATGGTATGAGGAGTATTATAATAATTTTAGCAAATGATTGTATGTGGGATTTACATAATTACAAGCATGATAGGGGCATTATAGTATGTAATTCAATTGTTAAGTAATTAAAAATGTATTATAATCATTTCTAAGGGGATTAATTTCATATTATTATATGGATGTTAAAATTTAATATGATAAAGCAATCAAAAGGATATTTTGTAATTATGCTAAGAGGGTATTGTAGTAATTTTGGCCAACCATAATGTGAGGAGTATTTTTATAATTATGTTTGGAGAAGCATTACATGAAGCAATCAAAAAAGCTTTCTTGGGTAATTATGGTTAGAGGGTATTATAGTAATTTTAACTAATTATAATAGGAGTATTTTCATAATTATGATAAGAGGGTATTTTTGTAATTATGGTTAAATGGTATCATAGTAATTTTTTGACAAATTATAATATGAGAGATATTTTAGTAATTATGATAGGAGAAACATTATAATAATTTTAGTAAATGATTATAGGAGGCATTTACATAATTATGATTATAGGGACACTATAGTAATTTTGATCAATTGTAGTAAGAGTGGTATTATAATAATTATGTTAAGAGAGGATTATAATAATTTTAATTAATCATAAAAAGAAAAGTATTACAGTCAATTTGGATATATGTAATTTAATTGTTAAGTAATTAATAGGGCATTATGATAATTTTTAAAGAGATTAATTTTATAGTATTGTATGAATAGTAAATTTAATACATAATTATAAAACAATCAAAATGGCATTTTCATAATTATGCTTAAAGGACATTATAGTAATTTTGACTAATTATAATGTGAATAGTATTTTGTAATTATGGTAGGAAAAATATTATATTAAGCAATTAAAAAGGCTTTTTGTAATATGATTAGAGTGTATTATAATAATTTTATATAAATATTATTAGGGATATTTTATAATTATGATACAAGAAGTATTATAATAATTTTGGTTAATTATGATACGGAAAACAAATAAAAAAATAAATAGGTGACATTCAATCAACATAAAGTGAGTTTTACAAAAAAAAATTAAATATAAAAAAGTAAAAACAAAAAACAAAAAAAGTTTGATATAAGCTTATCTTAAATATAAAAGGATTTAAAAAATATATAATAGTTTTATAATTTTTAAAACTATTTATTAAATAATTTTAAAGAAAAGAAAAGAAAAAAATAAAAAAAGTAAAATTTAAAAAGTAACACATGATAGCGAAAGAAAACCAGATTATAAGCCGCACATCATTTAATTGTGATCTAAAAGAATAAAAAAAATTTTAATTATTTTTTATTTAAAAAAATAAAAAATCCAAAAGCATAAAAATAAAAAATAAAAAAATTCGCATGAATAGATTGCACACATAAAATATAATTTTTATAATTTTAAAAAAATTATTATTTTTAAAAAAATGAAAAATAAAAAAAGTGAATCAGAACGTGACACGAAGCAGCCTAGTGGATGAGTACTATTTATTCGTATTTATTAATAAAATTAATTGTGAGGATGGCATGGCAAGTCAAGTCAAAGCAATTAGCTGTCCTTGTACTGATGAAATTTTCTTTGATTGTAATGGGAAGAGGGCTAAAGTTTTGTAAGCGTAAGAAAATAGTTTTAAGTCTAGCGGTCAAATATTATGCACTCAGCTTCTAGAAATCCTTTTACTTTGATTTTGCAAAGCACTTTTTGCATAGAATATCTAGAACGAAACTGATTCTTTCAAAGGATACATTTAGAATAATACTATTGAGAAAGGACAAAAAAAAACTAATTAATAGTGTAAAATAATACGTAGCATATATCATTTGGTCTTTGGTCTTTTAATTTTCATAATACTCAACACATTAATAATATCTATTATTCTATAGTGTACATATATATGACCCACCATGAACCGTTTACCGATCAATCTAATATTTTCTGCTGCATATACGTTTTATTCATGGTTTCCAAATTTTTTGTCAAAGGCTTTACTTACTTAAAATAAATAAATAAAGATCAAGAGGATTTGAACTTATAAGTTTATCATTAAAACAATTATTTTTAATGATAACAGCCAACCATTTGGTTTAATAATAAGTGTAAATATATATATATATATATGTATATTTCTGTTAAAAAATGGATATTGTTTTCCTATTGGGACGATTTGACTTTCTTAGACATAAATCCAAAATAATAATAATAATAAAAGAATTACAATTCAAGTTACTCTTATATTTTGATTTCCCAAAAGAATATCGTCATTGTAGGATTTACTTTGAACAATTTCTATGGTAAACTAAGCCTAAGTTCTCAGAAAACTCAGAAAACAACATTTTCTTTGCATCCTGCTTACCAATTCCAGTCTTCCAAAAGACCCTTAAAGCATGAACAGTTATGGCATTGACCCCGTGAAGTCCATGCTTTTGCTGTTCATAGCATTGGGCTTTTTGGGGTTCCAAAGATAACCTACTTTTTCTTTGTCGGTTGTTAACAATGAACCGCTCACTCCCATTCGAAATTTCTAAATGATCATAATAAGCCAAGTCTACAAAGGAAATTTCCCCACAAAAGCTCCCTCGCTTGCTAATTATTATTATTTTTTTATCAGAGACATAATATGCTACTAGTTAAAATTAAATCATGATAATTTTAACAAATGTGATATCTTATATAATTACACTTTAATTGTCTTATTTTTGTCAGAGACTTGATACTCTGTGTTATAATATTCGTAAAAAATTTAACCTAATTATTATTTATTCTCATATATTCTAACTCTCCCACGTAAGAGAGCTGCATACGTGAAAGTTCATTTAACTTGAACAATACGAAAGAATATAACTCTCTCTCATACTTCACATGACAGACATTTTATAAAACAAAAAAAAAAAAATTCAAATTTAAGACATTCTATTGAAATTTTAAATTCTAACCCTAGTTATATTCTCCTGGATTTATTATTATATATTATATTTATAGATCAACCAGACTATATAAAAAATAAATAAATAAATATAAATTCAACTTCAAGTCAATAATTGATGAGTCTACGTGTACATATATATGTAGTAACTTATGAAATTTGATACAAGAAATTATTGTCTATATAATATTTGCAACCGAAAAGTTTAACCCACTTGTTAACTCACTCTATTTAATTATTATTATATAATTTATGACCATAGACGAATGTTAAAGACTCATTCTTAGCTAATTGGATGCTAGTTATTAAAGAGTCAAGAGCAATGACTTGACTTTTTCTAACTCCCCAGTATTTATGAAGGTTTTGCAAAGTTCGAACTAGAAAGTATTAAGATCTTTGTTTTATTTATTGCACCAGGAAAATTAAGAAAGATGAACGTCCAAGATGGTAGCGGTAAGATGGATGAAGATGTTCCACTTCCAGGATTTCGATTCCATCCGACAGATGAAGAGCTTCTTAGGTTTTATCTTCGACGAAAAGTTGATAAGAAACCGATCAAAATCGAAATCATCAAACAGATGGATATCTACAAATATGATCCTTGGGATCTTCCAAGTACGATTTAATATCTACTTTAGTTCTTATGCATATTTATAAATATTTGCTTTAGCCATCTTTCATAAGAAAGAGATTAGGTTATTTGTTTAAAAGATCCAAATTTTCTAAATAAAAGAAGTTGCAAGCTGCCTAATATCATCAAGTTCAGTCTTTTTTTTTTCTTTTTGATATAATTATTTCTAAAATTTTATGATATACAATCGATCTATCCAAAGTTATGGTTTTTTTTTTTTTAAAAAAGAAAATTCTTTATTTTCAAAATTTTTGCACTTTGTGTTGGTACGCAGAAACTTCACATGAAATCTTATAATTATTTTGTTCAAATTTTTGTTAAAGACTGTATTTCATCTACATCAATGGAAGATTTCATATAAATATTTGCATCCGAAGGGGATTTTTATTCATAAATTTGCAGGTGCAATTTGCATATTGTTCTTATATATAGTTCAATCCACTATTAATGATTGGAAATTTTAAACCAGAAATCCGTCTTTCTTTAAGCTAGTTCGTCACAATCATCAACTAAATATATTCGAAAAATTTTAGTTGTAGAAATTATTATGATTTAATAATTGAAAGGAAATAATAAAGATGGTTAATACTGCATACTTCAAAATAACTAACTAGGGTTATTGACTTGTGTATATTATTGTAGGAAATTGAAAGTATTGCTGAAACTTGTTTTCACTTGTAGAGAAAGTAGTACCCTTTTCTCACACAAACAAGTTAATTTCTTTCATTTGAATCTAAAATCTTTATTTACATCGCGCTATACCCTTAAGTTTTCATTTTCTTGCAGAAGATTTTAGGCAAGGAAAAGAAAAATTAGGTCTCTATCTTTCATATATAGTTTCTTTTTCTCTAATGTGTTTCATGATTAATCATGCAGAACCTAGCAGTGAAGGAGAAAGTGACTCATATTTCTTCTGCAAACGAGGAAGAAAGTACCGAAACAGCATTAGACCAAATAGGGTAACAGGATCCGGGTTTTGGAAAGCAACAGGCATTGACAAGCCTGTTTATTCACATGGACGAGAAGGCCATGGCTATGAGTGCATAGGGCTAAAGAAAACGTTAGTATACTACCGCGGAAGTGCAGGCAAAGGAACCAAAACGGATTGGATGATGCATGAGTTTCGCCTTCCTAGCAATGACAATAACACCAATACTATCCAAGAAGCTGTAAGCAAAATATTCTAAATATATCATTGATCTTTGTTCTGTTTTGTTTTGTTTCCATAATCCTAATAAATCTTTAATTTTTGGAATTATAATTACAGGAAGTATGGACTATATGTCGAATTTTCAAACGGAACGTATCACATAGAAAGTACACACCAGTTTGGAGAGAAATTGCTGCTAAACGCAATTCAATTACATGCACAACGAGCTCTCAAACATGTAGTTTGGAATCCAACAATGATGATCATGGAAATTACATAAATTTCGGCGCTCCAATTCTTCAACATTTTGATGATGAGAAGCAAGTTAATAAAATCAATGGGAGAAACCAATATTGGCAAGTAACAGATCAATTGAGCACCATAGCTCAACCAGCTCCATTAATTGCACCCTCTTCATCAAGCTTTTCAAATCAAGAAAACGACTTCCTCACGTACGCAAATTGGGATGAACTGAGAACAGTTGTAGATTTTGCTCATGATCCTTTCCTTCTATAAATGCATGTGTAATTATATGTTGTAGTTGAAGCTTATATACATATGGGATGAACCAAATTGTGTTATTATTAATATATTACTTATAATTCTTCTTTACATGAACTTTTAGGAACAAAATCCACCATAATATTTGCCTACTTGACCAAAGGTCTATTTAATTAGACTCCATTTGAAAGCATAATCGGAGCATTCCCATCGCACCAGAATTTGCATTCTATGATCCGACCCTTTATGAAGGGAGACTTTTTTTTTCCACCTCAGGTCTCAACCATCAATTTAGCTAGTATGCTGTGAAAGTAACCTTGTTAAAGGCTGTTGAGTAGTTCTTGAATCCCTTAATTCTCTGAAGTTTCAGTTTAATTCTTGAAATCTTTTCAAAATCATACATCTCCTACAAAGTTTCAAAAGAATTTAATATGGCATCAAAGGTTTAATAGATACCATATTGACTTATTCTTTTATTAACATAGTGAAGGCTTAAGAGCCCAACCCAATTGTTACAATGGACGGTTCTAGCTTAAGTGGTGTCGGAATTCAAACTCCATAGCTACTGGATCTTACCTATTAAAATGACTGTATGACCAATTAATGTAAATTCCACCCACCTAATTCCCTCCTTATGTGTTTGACATTTTTGTATCAGCTTTGATTTTCATGTTTCAATGCAAATAGAAATAACTATTAAAATGGCTTAAAATTTCAATCCTTTTGACAATTATACTGAGGAAATCAGGATCTTTGTATTTGTATAAGTGAATGTCTTCGAATTTTGCACGTTCCTTTCAGTGTATCAATATGGCTGGAGTAGCAAAAGTCTTCGTGTATTTCAATGGTTAAAATCCAAATATTGATGTCATTTGGAACTCTAACTTGAAAAGTCTTGAGTTCCAATTTTGGAATTTGAAATGTGAGATTTATGAGATGAAATAAAATGTTACTTTCATTATATTCTACTTAATATTTAATATCAAATCTCGATACGTAATAAAAAATATATTATATACCTTTTATATAGGAAATAACATAAAAGTAAATTTTTGAAGTGGCCAGAATAAGTTCATAGTAATTATTTTATAGCAACCATTTTGATTTTTTCACTGAAAGTATTTGTTTTGTGCATATCATATTAAATTTGGGTTTATATGAAAGTAATTATTAATTTTTATGATTCAAGAACTGAGAATTTGAATCCATCTCTTTAAACAATGAATTCACTTACCATTGAATTAAATATTAGAATGAAAAATAATTATTAATTTTTGAAATGGCCAAAAGAAGTTTATATTAGTGATTTTATATCACTTATTTTGATTTTTTGTTGGAAGTATTTGTGTTGTAATATCTTATTAAATTTTGGGTTTATGTGAAAGTAATTATTAACTTTTATGATTCGAAAATTAAGAATTCGAAACATTGAATTCATTTATCATTGAATTATATGCTTCAAGATAAAATAATTATTAATCTTTGAAATGGCCAAAAAAATTCGTAGTATTGATTTTATAACAACTATTTTAATTTTTTTTATTGGAAGTATTTTGTATTGTGCATAAATAAAATAAATATATAAATATATGTATGTCTTATTAAATTTTGGGTTTATATGAAAGCGGGATGTTACTTAAATAAGTTCACGAATTTTACTTAAAAATAAAAATAAATTTTTGAATTTTTATTGTATGAAATTAAAATTATAAATTTTTATTTTATTGTAATTAAATCCTTGACAATATAAAATATTCGATTTTTTGTTAAAATTCTTTAGTTGGATGATTTAATTTGTAAATATTATTTAATTAGATTTATTTAAATGAATTAATGACAATTATTTGAGAAAATACTATTTTAAAAATTGTCAATTAAATATTATTTATTTATTTTTAAATTTAATGAATATAATTACAATGAAATAAAAGTCTATAACCTTAATTTTATGAAATAAAAGACTGAGAGCTTGTTTCTATTTTGGAGTAAAGTTTATGAGTTTATTTAGATATTAAGCCCATGAAAGCAGTTATTATTATTTTTTTTTTTCAGTACGAAGAATTCAAATCCATTTTTAAACAATGAATGCACTTATCATTAAATTAAATACTTAACTATGAAATAATTATTAATTTTAATAACTTAAACTTAACTATAGTCTCCGTTTAAAGAGATTTACTATCAAAAAAATTTCAACACAACAAAAACCAGCATTTGACTCAGTTAATTGGTTCACGATCTCATATGAAAAGAGTAAATTTTGAATCTTCTTTTCCCAAAAAAAAAAAAAATCTCAAAATATCATTATGGGTCTAAATGGAAGTTGTTGATAGTTTGGTTAATCTAAAACAACAACACATTTATATCCAAAAGTAAATTTGATCATGTATGTTTTAATATCATATTTATTTCACATTAAATTCGTATAAAATATAAAAATAATCATATTACAAATTGTATCATATTAAATACAAAATGTATTACTTTGTTTTTATGAATTTCATATGATTTTTATTAAAATTTTAAATTATATCACAGTCATTTTTTTTTATATTGTGTTCATATAATATTTAAATTTTAAGTTTATATTTAATGTATTATTGGTATATTCATTTCATATACTATTAATAAATTAAATGATATCATCTCATTAATAAAATAAATTAGATAATATTATTTTATTAATAAGTAAAATTTTTTTAAATATGTCATTTTTGTATATTTATTTTAAATATTAATATTTAATTATTAAAAAATATCATAACTTAATTCACTAATAATAAATAAAACCTTTACATCAGCAACACGTCAAATATAAAATTTTCAAATTTTCGCATTTGGTAAAAAACCCAGCCATCCACTCATTGCCAGTCGATAAAAGTAGGAATGGGCCTAATTTGTCCTACTTAAGCCGAAAAACTCATCCATCCCTTCATTGCCAATCGATAAAAGTAGGATTGGGCCTAATTTGTCGTACTTAAGGCGAAAACAATTTTTTACCCTTTTAAACCATTTTCAAGCCCTCTCTTTGCCTTGGCATGGCCAGCAAATGTGGAAGTCCAGCCAACTTTCTACATTTCTTAATTTCTTTCTTGTTCAAAATCTTACTTTACAAGATTAGCCAATTGGATTCTCTAAACAAAAGGAGGAAAAAATAAAAAACTCAAATTTACTCTCTTTTTACTTATATTCTTCATTTGTTTGACCCTGTTTCATCTTTGAATACTTTTTTCTCTTTGTTTCAATCCCGATTTTCTTTACAAATAAGTTATTAAACTATCTCATCATTTTTTTTAGGCTCTTATTGCTTAGTTTCATTTAGTTTCTGACAATTATTTTTTGGCTACTGACACTTTTTGAATCAGATGACAGTAGATCATTGTTCAGTTGCTTTGTACTTGCTACTTTCATTTCTTGTTGGAGTCTGGGATACTAATTGTTATAACGTATAAATTTATGGACCTATCATTAGATATAAATTATAGGAGTTGTCACCAATCATTTTTGGTTAGGTGTGATTGGCTACTTGAAACATATTCTGATCCACGAAACTGAATGTTAAGTTCGGGAGTACGATTATGATTTGATAAGGTTATACTAACCCCATGACGCCCATTCAAATGATGATACTAGTTTTGACTTCCAATTATCTAAGCCCTGATTATAATTGTGATGTACCAAATAATTTAATATTAAAAATTAGTCTTAAAATTATCCCAATAATTTGATAGTAATTTAAGATAATTTTTTTACCTTAAGAGTATTTATAGAGACTAGTGTCACATTCTAAAGAGGCTCTGTCATCGGATTTGTTAATTCAATTTATCTCAAAAAATTAATAAAGTCTCTCAATAGTTTGGTAAGACTTACTTTGAAGCAATCTTCCAATAGTTTGGAGGATAAAAATATCTTTTATTTCTTTATTTTAAAAAAAAATTGATTTATGAAAATTTTCAATAGTTTGATGGATTTTATTTTAAAAATTAAATCCATGAAAACTTTCTAATAGTTTGGTAGAATTCACGAATTTATTTTTTAGGGATTTTTATTTGAAAAAGATTTTTTTATTGAAAGGATTTTTTTTGTTTTTATAAATATTTTTTGAAAACTTAAATTTTTTTATTATTTGAAAAAGTTTTTTTTATAATTGTTTTTTTAAAACCTATTTATTTTCAAAAATAAAATAACAAAAATAATTTTTACAAAATTTCTCAAAAATAAAACCATAATAAAAAAACTAAAAGTAAAATGAGCTAAAAAATAAAATAAAATGAAAAAAGGAAACCTTATGATCGGGTCGAGTCAGAGCATGGGTCAGCACTTGGGTCAATGGGTCAAAGCGCGAATCCTAGACTACCAAAACACTGCCGTTTTGGAGCAATATAAAAGCAATCCTTCAGTGTTTTTATCCCAGACACCCTCTACTCCCTTTCTCTTTACTCTCAAACGCTCTTCTTTCTCTTTAAAACCCAACTGAGATCCCATCAAAAACTAGAAATCCTTGTCGGTTTCTAGAAAATCCATCAAAAAATTCATATTCCACGGGAAAACTCATTGAAAATTTCATACCCCACCGAAAAATTCATCAAAAATTTCATCCAAACCCATATTTTTTAGAAAAAATCCAAAAAAATTCTTAGATTCTCCATAGTCCTTCAAAAATCCTTCATGAACGCAAACCTAATCACAGAAATCTAAATCTAACCTAGAATCAGTAAATCATACCCAGAAACTTCAAATTTATCCTAGATCCTAAAACCCAGTACTACTTAAAAAATTTCGCTAGAGTTGCAATTTTTCACCAATTCCCTACTTCACCCCAATTAATCCTTTCTTTTTTATTCATTGCAATGTTCAATTCACTTTATAAGTAGCCTTAAGAATCGGATATAATCCAATCCTAAGGTTCAAGCCTAGATTTGTTCTGTTCGAGTATGATTCTTGGCTAGATTTTGGTGAAACTAAAAGCTTTTGATTTAGTTTTGATTTAAAAATCCATTGACCAAAAGAATTCA